TCAGGGAGGGTGAGGTCCTCTGCTAGCAGTTGAAGTGTGAACACCAAGGGAGGAGAAACTGCTTCTGTAGTTGGAAAGCCATTCACAGTCTTTGTTTAATCCTGATCTGATGGTATCAAATTTGCAAATGAACTGAAGCTCAGCAGTTTCTCTTTGGAGTCTGGTCCTGAAGTTTTTTTGCTGTAAGATGGCTACCTTTACATCTGCTATTGTGTGGCCAGGGAGATTGAAGTGTTCTCCTACAGGTTTTTGTATATTGCCATTCCTGATATCTGACATGTGTCCATTTATCCTTTTACGTAGTGACTGTCCAGTTTGGCCAATGTACATAGCAGAGGGGCATTGCTGGCACATGATGGCATATATAACATTGGTGGATGTGCAGGTGAATGAGCCGGTGATGTTGTAGCTGATCTGGTTAGGTCCTGTGATGGTGTTGCTGGTGTAGATATGTGGGCAGAGTTGGAATCGAGGTTTGTTGCATGGATTGGTTCCCGAGTTAGAGTTGTTATGGTGCGGTGTGTGGTTACCTCGTTATCTCCAGACTGATTCTTGCCACAAGACTCTCTGTTGCTCTTAAGGGTGTGTTCGCTGTAATGGATCAGATCCCTAGCTGGTGTAAATCGACATGGGACCATTTGCATCACTGGGCTGGCTCCCGCGACTGGTGTCAATCGGTGTAGCTCCATTAAAGTCAATGGAGTTGCATTGATTTATACCAGCTGAGAATCTGGCTCAGTGACTCTTCCTGCAATAGTCACACGTTTCCTTCTCTCTCTCCCTCTCTTTACAGCTGGGCTTTGACCTGGACCGAGAGGTGTATCCCATGGTGGTGCATGCCGTCGTGGACGAGGGAGATGGTAGGAACAGACCCTTGGGATTGCAGGGCTTCATTTCCCTACGTCCGCAGCGAGCTGGATGAGCCTTAAGGCTCTGGTGCCCCGCGCGACTTGCCCTGCAGATGGTGTCTGTGTTCTTACAATGCAGCCTCCGTTTGCGCAGTGAACTTTCAGCGTCTGCTCTTGAACGTGTGTGTTGCTCCAGTCCCCTGTGCTGGTACAAGACAGCCCAGATGGCCTGATAAATGGATTTACTTTGCTCTTCTGGAGAGAGAAAATAAAGGCTCATTATTGATTCCTCGGCAGAGGTTTTTCAGCCTTATCATCAAGGTCTTTGAGATTATCAGCTCTTTGGGGCAGGGCCTGTCCTTTATGCTATGTTTGTACAGCACCTAGCACAAAGGGCCCGGCCTGGCCAGGCTCTTTTAAATATCACGGAAATGTAAACATTAAATAACAAAAGGCCACATCCAGCCGTACGTACACCCGGGGGCATGGATGCTGCAGCACGGCACATCCTGCAGCCGCTTCATTTAAACTGGAAAAGGGAGGGGATTTTAATGAATGATCTCCCCTGGCCAGGAGCCCTCGAGCCTTTGAGGTTGATATTCAGTTCCGGGCTCAGGACCCCGCTGAGCACTCTGTTCGAGGGCCCAATGCACAGCTCGCTGAAGTCATGGAAAGCTTCCTTTTGGCACCAGTGGGCTTTGGATCAGGCCCTGGGGGAAGGAAAGCGAGTCCTGAGAACTCCATAGCGGGCCTGACCCTGGACACTGAGTGTCCTCTGCCCTCATTGAAATCCAGGGCACGCAGCACTCTGCAGGATCAGGCCCTGTATGGAGATGGCTGGGGGTGTTGTAGACCCTCTCCCGGCCCCGTCTTGCAGAGTTTAAGTGGCACTGGGGGGCTGTCAGGGAATTCTGAATCCAAGGAAATGCATTTCCTCTGCGCTCCAGCTGGGACCCCCTTATCTTGCCCTATAAATATTTGTCCTCTGTTTTTATAAAGGTCACTCAATAAGGTGGTTACACTTTCTCTAGCCCAGATAAGGAGCCCGGGCAGGGCTCAGCTTTCCCCTGAGGAAGTGGATGGTTCCTGGCTTATAACAGCAGCCGCTCTCATTGGGAGCACAGGCCAGGCCCCCACCAGCACAAACAGGCCAGGAACTCTGCCTGGGCGCTCTTGGTAGGAACCCCACTTCTATGGAAGATTTGGGTGCCGACATGAGCCTTTCCCCTTAGCCCACTGGAGTCTCTCCAGACTCTCAGGAATTGGCTGACATGGACCTAGGCTTCCAGTGCTGCCTTGTTAAAAGCCCTTGTCCTGCCCCTGGGGAGTGCCCTCGAGCGGAGCAGCATGCGGAGTGAGGGGCACTCCCAGATGCAATGGAAGACATGTCCTTTCGTAACCCACACATTCCTGTTCCTTGTGAACCTTCCAGTGTGTGGCAAGAAAAGATTTGGCCTGTCTCCGAGACCGTTCTTGCCCAGGGACCAATATGGTCTAGGGGGAGTCAGCATGGATTGGGGGACTGGTAGCCAGGGCCTCCTGAATTCTAATTCTTGCTCTGCCGCTGACCCGCTGGGAGTCAGTCACTCGGCTTCTTCGTGCCTCCATTTCCCCATCACGCAGTAGGGATACCATCCCCCAGGGGAGCTAGGAGGATTAGCCAGTTGAAGTCTGTACAGTGCTTTAAAATGTTACAGACCGGTTTTCTGGATGATCCTGTGTCAGAGAGGTGGGAAATAGGCTGGTTCTAATAAGGTCACAGGGCAAATGAATTGCAGTCAGTGAAGTTACCCCGAAGAGGAGTTTGGCCCTTGGCATTCCCAGTTCATTCCCCTTACATCCTTGTGCCTTCGCATTGCAGCTTTGCAACAGCGTCACGGTTCCATGGGGACGAGCTGGGCTTTGCAGCAGTCGTCTCAGTCCCATATGGGCCTTGGGTGTTACGCCCTAGCCCTGATCTGCTGGGCAGAGGCAGCACATTGCAGCTCGTACTGAGCATCCACAGAGCCATTTCCCTCCTGACAGAGCGAAAACCCTCCACGTAACAGCTGCGCCTTCAACGGGTGGCTGGGGAGAGGGACTAGAAGCCTAGCTCACATACGTGCTAACCCATAGCAGCCCCTGCCTCCAGTCTGTAGGAGTTAGAGAGAAGAGACTGACCGGTTCCTCCTGCCTGACCTTGGGTTGTGCGGGGGGAACGTGTCATCTTCCCTGTATCCAAACATGGCACCCTTCCCCCCTCTGCTTTTCCCATTGCAGTGCCCAGCAGGCAGTGCTCCTGCCCCAGAACAACTGGATGTGGTGTTCTGTATCCCACTCCTGCAATGGGCGCTGGGGCAGTGACCCGGATTCCCAGCTGCAGGGCATCCCTTTTACCTCTCGGCCCTGCCCCTTTTGTATCTTGCAGAGCACCTCGGCCACTGCCACGTACTGCTGGCGACGTTTGAGAAGGTGAGTGTTGAGTCTCTGTCAGGTCCATGTACCGTACAGTCTGGCTTTCCTGTCCAGTGGAGTAGGCCGTTTAACCCCTTTCCTCCCAGCATGGATGGGACAGCAGGACCCACAGGACAAACTGCCACACGTGGAAATCAAAAGGCTGGCACCTAACGCTGGGTTTAAGCCCCGAGGGCAAAAAATGATCTAACATTTGAGGTGTCGAGCCCGATATCCAGGCTGCTTATTTATTATTTGCCTGAATATTGATTTGAGAGCTTAACTTTAGGCCCTCAAGTTGGAAACTTTCGGTCACAATGTCTAATCCATTGAAACAGCACTGGAGGGGCCTTTGTGTTGCATATTCCTGTGGTACATTTCTAACTTTTCTATAGCTTGATAAACTGGTGTTTGCATACATGGAGAAAGAGAGCAATCTTGATATAAGATCAGCTGGTTAATGGAGAATCTGTTGGACGTCTACATGGTTAGGCTTGGCTGAATTTGGTTTTTATTTTTTTATCATTTTGACAGATGTTTATTTTTAAGCATTTATTTCAATTTTTATCAAAGTAAATTCTCACAGTTGTGCATAATTAGGGGGTTTAACCATTTTTATCTATTTAACCACATTTTCACGATTGTGGGAAGTTATTGGGGGGGGGGGGGCAGACAATGGGATGGCTCAGACAATCGTTATTTAATTACAGTGGACGTTGAGATTCAAAAAGTTAAAGCTTTACAACCGTTAAAACACACATGGTCAGCATCACATGTCCAGATAGACAAAGGAAATAGCCTTAAATTAACCTAAGAAGTTCTTAAGCAGCATTTCCTGACTTTGCTTCTCTGTACATTTCCAGTATTATCAATGGCAACATTCTTTCTTCAGTTTGCATGTGCATGTGTGAAATTGACATTTACTGATAACTATCTAATCCTGCCAAGCCTAGCTACAGGTGTCACAATATACAGCATGTGATAAATACACCACAGCTCCCTTCCCTCCCTCTAGCGTCTATGGTTGCTTTGGATTAACTTGGAGTACAATTTCCTTGTTTCCAGCATGCAGATGGTAGCTTTTGTGTGAAACCCCTCAAGCAGAAACAAGTGGTGAGTGTATGTGGGGTTGGGGCTGGCTAGCACTGGCCTGGTCCTGGGGGCTGAGGGGCAGTTGTTCCTTGCTGGTGGGCTGGCCTGGACGGGACCTTGAATCCAGGAAGGATTGCGGGTCTGTTAGAATCACTGGTGCGATGAGATGTCCCCTTCGCAGCCGGGGCGTGGCATGCATAGAGACAGCCTGCACCCAGCGTAGGGCTCTGGGGGTGGAGTTGTGGGGAGGGGGGTCCCTCCTCACGTGGTGGGGAATGGGAAGGCTTAGAAAGAGGCCGTCCCAAGGAGACTATCTGAAATGAGCTGGCGTGGCAGCACCAGCGTAACTCTGCATCGCCCATGTGACTTCCCCGTATCTGTGGGTTCCAGGTGGATGGAGTTAGCTACCTCCTTCAGGAGATCTACGGGATCGAGAACAAATACAACACGCAGGACTCCAAGGTAAGGGTGTGTCCCCCGGGGGTGGGGCGCAGGTCCTGGGAAAGGGAGGTGCCCTCCTTAGTTGCCGTTCTCTTTGGAGCACACATCTCTCCTCTTCCACTTTAACTTAATGCAGTGACTGTTTAGCACTCTCAGGAATAGGGAGTTTATAGAACAGTGCATTGGCCTTGGCCCAGTGCTGCTATTGCTCCACAATGGTACGCTCCAGCTAGCCCTGCTATCCCAGTCTTGGGTTCCCCACACTGCATGGCCAGTGCCCCTCAGGCCTGGCCAGCAGTGCCCGCGGCAATCCCAGGCTCATCCCATCTTCGCAGCACTCCAGACTCAGGCCTGGTCTACACTACGACTTTAATTCGGATTTAGCTGCGTTAATCCGAATTAATCCTTAACCCGTCCACACAACGGAGCCAGTTACTTCGAATTAAAGGGTGCTTAAAATCGATTTCTGTACTCCACCCCGACGAGCGGAGTAGCACCAAAATCGATTTTGTAAATTCGAATTAGGGGTAGTGTGGCCGCACACCACTGAATTAATGTGGTTAAAATTAATGGGGTAGTGTGGCCACACACCACCGAATTAATGTGGTTAAAAACCGAATTAATGTGCTTAGTGTGTCCGCGCACAATCGAATTTATACAATCTGTTTCCCAAATTCGAATTAATCTCGTAGTGTAGACGTACCCTTAGTCACCCTCCTCTTGCTCTGGTCCAATCCTGGACCCACCTTAATGCTTTTTCCACCCAATAAGCACTAGGGGGAGATCTCCAGGCTCATGTTCAATAAGGATTTGAACCAAGGCCCTTGGAGGTAAAAAGCCCAAGTACTGACGCTCTTTTCCATGGGCCTTCCTGTTAAATTGTCTCTGCACATAGGGCTGCAGTGACTCTCTGGGGTGAATCCTTGCCTGTCAAGGATCCTAGCGGCTGTGGAGCTGGTGCAATGCTGGATTGGTGGGAGCTGCACAGGGAAGCCCCAGGCATAGCTCCTCGGGGCTCCCTGCGTGTTTGGGCAGCAGTGGGTTAAGGGCTGAGGTGGGCCAGTTGATCTACCCCTCTGCAGCTCTGTGAGCCATTGACCCCTGCAGAACAGGAGCTGCCAAGGCTGCTGCAGGCTCCCACTGCAATAGCAGCCACTCCAAGGGCAAGGCTTTCTCCCACTGTGCCAAGCCCAGCTGGAGAGCCTCATTCTCTCTCTCTCCCTGCCCAGGTGGCTGAGGACGAGGTGAGCGATAACAGCGCAGAGTGCGTGGTCTGCCTCTCGGATGTGCGGGACACTCTGATTCTACCCTGCCGCCATCTTTGCCTCTGTAACACTTGTGCGGACACCCTGCGTTACCAAGCCAACAACTGCCCCATCTGCAGGCTGCGTAAGGCTCAGGGCTCTTTTCAGATCCTGTGGTGGAAGAGGACTGATTCCTATGGTGGAAGATTGAGGGGGGGCATTGTCCCAAGTTGGTTTACTCTTTAGCTTGGGAAGATCTGTCTTGCACATTCTACACATGGAGTTCAAGCAAGACAAAACTCGTAGCTTCACCCAAACTGCTCATGTGATGACTCTGTGCGTGGAGCTGAGATTGGCTGGCACTGACCTTTTCCTAGGGAATGAGAGCAGTTGCTCCTAACTAGTGAATAAGAGCTGGCTGGTCCGGAATAAGGGCTTGAATCTAGGAAGGACTGAGGGTCTATTAGAATCGCTAGTGCATTGACAGACATCGTCATCTGCCTGGTGTTAGAGGTAGCTCCATGCAAAACCCCTTTCTATCATTTTTACAGCACCGTTCCCAATTTCATTTCAAGAAATTTTGCACCTGCATTGTTTGTGGGTTTTTGGTTTTTATTTTTTTCAAAATTTTGTGAAATGAGGTTTTGGCATTGATTAAAAAAAATACCAAAATTCAACATTTTTTTTTTGCAAATTCTGGGGCAAAAATCTTTGACCAAAACTTCCAAGTTTGGAATTTTGAAAATGTTAGTGTCTCCTGCTTGAAAATAGGTCCGTCCTGAGTGGTGAACATGTCATTTTTTTCCCCCACCAAAAACAGCTGTATTTTTAAGGTGGAAAAACCTGAAATTTTGCAGGTTTTACACAAAATGTGTGAAATTTCAACAAAATGCAAAACCTCCAATCCTGAACAAATGCAAAAACCTCCAGTTCCATCCGGACAATTTTGTATGGCCTTCACTAGCGTGGAATAGAAGAAATAAAACAGCTCTTATGAAAACAAGCGGCATTCTCCGGGGGGGTTGGGTCTTCCGCTTGTTATATTAGAAATGAACTTTCTGTATCCTTCCCTCCCCTCCCCGCACTGTTCAGCATTCCGAGCCTTGCTCCAGATCCGAGCAATGAGGAAAAAACTTGGCCCTCTCTCTCCAACCAGCTTCAGCCCAATCATCGCCTCCCAAACATCCGATTCTGAGGAGCACTCGGTAAGTATTGACCAGAGAAGCCAACCCATCAGCCCTCGCGTGCGTAGTCCTGACCCCGCTGTTACTCCCCAAGGTGTATAGTCACTGGGATGCAAAACAGCACCCAGGCTTCTAAACAAAGGATAACCCAGGAAGGGGAATTCCTTCCACTTTCAAGCCTGGGAGTGCTGAACTCACACAACATCCAGGAACAAAGTGCATTGGCAGAGCTGTGCGGGGTGGGGAATCCGGGGCTGGACTAATCAGGGACATTGTAGCTCAGGTTGAAGGTGCATTGGCAAAGCTGAGGTGGGGCGCAGGGCTAGCGTAGTAGGGGGCTGAAGGGTGCGGTAGAAGCTTGCACAGCCCTTGCCTGCTCTATGCCTCCCTCCAAGCGGTGGTCTCGGGCCCTTGCGTTCCTGGCCACCAAGTTTTGTATCTATAGGCCGCCGCTTTGGAATGAATTGCCCTGCCTGGAGCGGAGGGGGCAGTTGTGTTGTGAAACATGGGCTGTTGAATGCTCATTCCCAGGCCTGTCTCTGCTCCCTGTAGTCTTCTGAGAACATCCCTCCTGGCTACGAGGTAGTGTCTCTGCTGGAAGCTCTCAACGGGCCCCTCACTCCGTCCCCGGCCGCCCTTCCGCTGCACGGGCTTGGGGACAGCCACGGGGCAGGGATGTTGCCGTCGTATGGCAGCGACAGCCACCTGCCTCCCATCAGGACACTCTCTCCCCTTGACCGCTTGTCGGACTGTGGCAGCCAAGGGCTCAAACTCAAGAAGAGCCTATCAAAGTAAGTCACTCGCCGCCTTTCCCTTCCGCACGTTACCGGACGCTCTTGCAGCCAGAGGGAGAGGGACTCTGGCCTAAGCTTCCTCGTAGGGTCCAGTCCCCAGCCCTTAGCTTCCAAAATACCCACTGGGGGAGGGCAGAGCAGGGATGGCAGGATCGGGCCCACATCCAGTAAAGCCATGTACTTCTGAAGGGCCTGATCCAGCTCCCTTTGGTGCCAATGGGAATCCTTCCATTGACTTCAGCGGGCTCTGCATCAGGCCCCAGGACCTTCCCCTGATGGGTCCTATCTGTCCTGTGCTTCTTCTCTAATGGTGTGGTCCTGCCTAGCATGCTGGAGGAGAAACATCCTCTCCCCTGTCCCCTCAGTGCTGCCTCAGGTGTCTGTTGCATCCTGATTCTCCAGGGGACCGTTGGCACTTGGCAGAAATGCTGTGGTGGAGACTTGCAGTAGAAGGATGAATGTGCCAATGCCAAGGAACCCCAAGTGTTGGCTAAGGGCTGGGTCCTGTCGGATGTCAAACACCCTCAGTTCCTATTTGGGTTCAGCTGGAGTGGGGGCAGCACCCCAGTGGAACAGCTCTGGATTTATCCCGGTATAACTGGGGACAGATTTTTGGTCCAGAAAGCAGAACAGATGGGAGGAGGACCCCGTACAGAGAACAGGGCGAAGGAAAAGACGCTTGTTTCACTGATCCATGTAAATACCACTTTTTTACCTGGCTGTTCTGTCTGTCATTAAAGGTGCCCCAGAGACCTGATGTGGGTCTGGGCTTCAAAGGGTTAACACCCCTGCCACATGACTGCAGCTACAACTGTTACACCCTCCACTGGCCCGCTCCTGGAGCAGTGGCTTCCTGTGGAGGGCTGCAGCCAGTTGCGTTGACAGCATGGGTTGTGCTAGTGAAATCACTGGAGCAATCGTAAGTTAACAGGCTGCTCCTTTCCCCTTCTTGCTAGGTCAGTTTCCCAGACTTCCTCGGTCCTGCACGAAGAAGATGATGAGAAGTCCTGCAGCGAATCAGAAATCAGGATTTCCAGGAGGAAGTCTCCTCATCAGCATGAGGAGGTGATTATTTAACAGGGTTCTGGTCCAGCTGTCTACTCAGCAGAGACCCATGGAACTGGCATTCTGGAGTTCCGTGTTTGTTTTGTTCTGCAGTCATTCTGTATAAAATGAGTCCAGTTTGCAAGCAAAGCTGTGTTATTTTTTTTCTAACTGGCAACCCTGCAACTCAGCCTGGGATCTGAGAGTCAAGCTGGGCTCTTTCTTTCTTGTGTATCGTCGCCAGCAATGAAGATCCTTCAGCTAAGTGCTGTCCTCTCTGAATTACCCCCGTGTAGCCCTGTTGCCCTCTGGGCTTGCACAGATTTAACTGGGGGCATAATCTGAAGAGGCAGGGGATGCGTAGGTGACCTTGGCATCGGAGTGCAGTTAATATTTCTGATACGACCAGAGGCAGGAAAGGATCCTGCTGGTTGTCCCAGAGCTGTGTTGGTTCTGCTGGGCTGATGGCAGTAAAACATAGCAGAGACTTAGTAGATTGGACTCTGAATGCCCTCTCAAGGCAGATCTGTTAAATAAGTAGGTGCTATTTTTACACAGTCATTTTCCGGGCAGAGTCATTAATTAGCCTCTCATTCACAGCCCCTGCTATCTAACACTTTGCAGGTTGAGTCAGACCCCCATGATACCCATGTGATGTGGGTCCATATTAGCCCCCTTGTATAGATGGGTAACAGGTGAAGTAAGGTCATAGAGTGCAAGTCAGTGGTAGTGCTGGGAATATCACTCGAGAACTCCTGTCTCTCAGCCTGGCTCTCTGACCGATAGGGATAGAGGATGCTGTCTCCACAAAGATCAGTAGTGGAGTCTGTTGGTGATCAACCAATCTGTCGTGCATGGCCCGAAAGCCTCCGGCTCACTCATTGGTGGGTTCCCATTCTCCAGTGCATTCGAAAAGATGTCCACATCAGTCCATTATCAGAATCTCTTAGCAGTTTGATGGCTAATGTGAAAGGAGTTGGAGAGTTTTAGTCCTAATGTACAGGGGGTCCATGCTGCAAAAAAGCACTCTGATAATTGGCTCACTTGTTGGCAGCCTCATCAGCAAGGCCAAAGGCGGAATGAGCACCAAGAGTTAAAAACCCTTCTCCCCCCTAGAGGTGGCCCTTGGAGAACAGGCATGTTAGTGGGACATTGTGAAGATACCTGCTCTATTTATTGTCCTGAAGCTTCAAAGACTTTAATCTCCAGGGCTACCAATTCAGAAACTGCCAGGAGCCCTAAATGCCTTGAAAAGTACCAAATTACGATCAGTTGCTTCATCTGCAGGGACCTGTCATCCTCTTACTCTGGTGTGTTTGCTCTCCTTCCAGGAATATGGTATGACACCAGAGAGTGAAAACCTCACCTTATCCTCCTCGGGAGCAATAGATCAGTCTTCGTGCACAGGAACCCCTCTCTCCTCCACCATCTCCTCCCCAGAAGGTACGGTAGGAGACGAGGGACAAGCAGCATTTCAGTGGTCACTTGGCTTCCTGATGGCTGCATTATGCAACGCCATAGGAGCACGTGGCACTTTGCATTTGAGGAAGAGAGGACAAAGATCTTGTCCCAAGATGCTTCCAGGGTTCTGATCCTGCTTGCCTTAGTCATGTCTGCACTTGGCTGGGAGTAATGCATGAATTAGGTGAACAGGATTTGAGCTGGCTTGTTAATATCTTAATGATCAAACGCCGCCATCTGTAGATTTCAGAGATGTTTAGGCCAGAAAGGGGCCATTGTGATCATCTAGTCTGACCTCCTGCATAACATGGCCGGAGATCCTCACCTAGTGATGCCTGCATCCAGCCCCGAAGTTGTAGGCTTGATGCAGGCATTGCATGCAGCAGTAGCTTATTCCCATTGGCGCAGTTAAGAAGCCCCCCAGAAAGACAAGCGGTTTCTTTGTCAAGTGTTCAAAAGGCAGGTACCGACTGCAGTCTCCAGGCCACCCGACGTGGAGGCAAGGACCCAGCTTGAAGGCGCCAGTACCAGGGTTTGGAGAAGGAGAGCGTGCAAAATCGACACCCGTCATTGTAGAATCCATCTTGCAAACTGTTTCCTTTGCAGTCAAACCTGCACAGCCACAGCTGCTCTGCCCTCTCTAATGCCGCCCTGTGTTCTCCACGCTTCCCTTTCTCCCTAGATCCTGGCAGCAGCAGCCTGGCCCAGTCCATCATGTCCATGGCCTCCTCCCAAAGTCAGCACTCCCAGATCAGCACCGACACCATGTCTTCCATGTCTGGCTCTTATGTCGCTCCGGGCACAGAGGAAGAGGGGGACATGCTCCCATCCCCTGCTGCTGCCAGTGGGATTCCTTCAGAAGGAGAGGTAGGTATAGTGGACCTACAAGCATTTCATGCATTGGGGGAGAAGCTGATCGCCATCTGGGGTCAGCAAGAAATGTACCTCTTTGTGGACTAGTATTACACAATGTGATTGATTATTTGCGGGTAGGGCTGTATGTATGCCGGGGAGCAGTGATTTGCGGAGGGGAGGGGAGTTTGTATTCATGGGGGTAGTTTACATCTTCATGTGAAGCATCCAGCCTTGACAGGCTACCGGATTAGGTGGACGAGCCGTGCGGGAGCCTAGTGATTCCTTTGTTCATATGGAATAACACCAGAGACTCTCTCACTTGTTTTCACTGCACTTCTGCTTTAAGATCTGGAGTCCAGTTTTCAAAAAGCTCAAGTGCCTTAGTCAACAGGGACTTAGGCCTTTTGAAAGTCAAAGCAACTTAGACTGCTAAAGTGCCTAAGTCCTTTTGAAAATGGGAGTTACGCTCCTAAGTCTCATAAGCACATTAGAAAATTTGACCTCAGGCTATTAACCCAACTCTGGTCTGACTGCCCTTCTAGACGGGCTGCATCAGCACTCCGGGCACTAGAGGGTTAATGGCTTTGGAACGCATGTGCAGTGAATGATGCACCCGTTTGTCATTTCAATTTGGAGCAGCTAAGTTTGTCATTTTCTAAAACCTTTTGCTTTCAAACAATAAAGGAAAACTTTCTGGCAGAGGAGCCCTGAGGCCTTTCTCCTTTCCTTTCCCTTGCTCCTCCCACTTTCCTTTGTAACTGTTAGATCCATTTCAAAAGTGTGTGTGAGAGAAAACACTGTAGAAAAGAACTGGCTTTTGGAACTGGCGTGGTCCAGTGGGGTAGGGCACTCGGCGTGGTCAAGTGGGGTAGGGCACTCGGCGTGGTCCAGTGGGGTAGGGCACTCGGCGGGGAGTCAGGAGACGGAGCATCTATTCCTAACTCTGCTACAGATTTGCTGTACAGCCTTGGGCAAGTCAGTGCACCTCTGAGGCTCTCCTATATATCTGCTGAGACTGTCAGCTCTTCAGCACTGGGACTGTGCCCGTGTACGTCTGCACAGTGCCTAGCACAATGGGGCCCTGATCTCAGTTAAGGCCTCTAGGTGGTATTGTCATACAAATAACTTCAGCTTTTTGGTTGCCCAGGCGGGTTATCCTAAACAGCAGCTTGACAAAATTACTGTCAAAACTAGAATTTTGAAGCCCTGTATATTGAACTCAGAAATATTTTTTTGGCTCAAGGGACATGGATTGGAATCTTCCTTGAAAAACATTTTTTTTTTAAGCTCAATTGTGCAGCACCAAATAGAGAGAGTACGTCGGCTAATGAGCCTTCCTCTGGGTGAGCCTTCGCCTTTCTGAAAGACAGCGCTGGGGTCTATTATCCCAGCTACCTAAGGGCAGCCCCTGATGATGGAGAACGTTAGCTGCATATTGCATTGATTCACGGACACACCGTGCAAGTAGAATTGTCTGATTTCTCTTGTCCTCCTTTTGCAGTCAACCCCTGTGGAATCTCCAGATAGGAATTTTGTCAGTATCTCTGCGGAGGAGCGAGATGCGGAGGTAAAAACCTATGTTCAAAAGGAAGGACCTTGTCACCAGCCTTTCCTAATGATCAGTGAGCTACGTAATACACTGGATTCATGTGGGTGATCACACCGGTTGCTAGCAGCTGGTTCCAGTGCTGTGCCTAATTTGTACCAGGGCTGAACCCTGGCACCTCTGGGCTTGCCAGGTCAGCTGTGAAAGTAAAAAATTTGGCACCTCTTTCGTTACAAATTAAGACCTGCCACAGCGTGTATAAGGCCTTGCTATTTACCTGACGGAGCCATTCCTTAGCTCAAGCTTTAGAGGCGTGTGCTTTTGTGCTGAAAGTCCTGGGTAGAGCTGTGTGAGTACTGAATTATTTGATTTGGTTTGCTGGCAACTCAGAATTTGAAAAAAAAAAAAATCATTTCGGGTCAAACCAAAAATGAAATTTTTGGCACATCAGAGTTTTTAAAAAATCCATTTCTGGTCCAACAAAACGTTCCGTTCAGCCTGACGTGAAAGGCTTTCATTTCAGTTTGGAGCATTTTTAGGCTTTAACATTTTTTTTAAAAATAGAATTAAAGGCAATTTTCAAACAAGCACTTCAGACTGAAAAACCGAAAGCAAATGTTTTGATTTTTTTTCAGAATTGCTTCTCTACTCTTTTTCAATGGAAACAAATTGTCAACATTGGCAGAATGTTTCGGTGCTGCAGAATCTGCCTTTTTCGCTGCCAAAAAAAAAAAAAAACAACCAAAGTTTCAGTCGAAAAATTGCACCCAGCACTTACCCTGGGTTGTGTCTCGGCTGATGACTCCCAGTGGCTCCGTGTAGGTGGCCTGAATAGAACGACACTCGGTGTCCTAGCTTGTCTTCCTTGGCTGGAGAAACGAGAGTGTCAAGCTCTTGGGGGGTGGGGGGTGAACTGAGATGAGTGAGAACTGCCACCAGGAGAGTTTTGTCGGAGCATCGTGAGGTGAGGAGATGCACCACCCCCGGCAGGACTGGCAGTAGCTGTGGGAGGGGCAGATCCTCTGGCAGTGATGCAGATTATCCCTGGGACAAGCTCAGAGGATGAATATTCAGTAAGGCGCGCAGGACTTTGCCTGGGTTCTGCGGAGCCTGGGCCACATTCACGCTGGCCTGAGTGGGCGGAGCGCCGCCGAGTCCCTTGGCACAGCGCCAAGCGGGTATCCTGAGCGCCCTTGGGAGAGTCCGAGTGAAAGATGTGTGAGTCTGGCTACAGGTGCCTGGGGGAGTTAGGGAAATGTAGGGGGATGGAGGGCAGCATGGGTTCGTGGCCAGCGTGCCTGTGGAGAGGAGGCTGGCAGTGTTGGAAGGACTCAGCTCCGGGTTCTTGGACAGAGTCCTCTGCTGTTCACGTTCACTGCCTGTCTTCTGTGTCTCAGGGGAACGATGTCATGGAGGAAGAGGACGGATCTCCCACCCAGGAAGACGGTAACAGACGTGGATCATTACTCCCCTCTCTGCTAGTTTTTGTTCTGTTTCATCGGCAGGTGGCAGAGTGTATGCTCAGGGCATCGTGCCTAGTCAGAGAAGGGGAGCCAGCCTTCCCAGGAACGCTATCCTGCCCAAATATTGAGTGGGGAATAGGAGGGGGGCGTCTTCTCTTCATAACAATGAACTGGGGCTCAGGGCGGAGGGGTAATGGGGAAAATGAGAGGGTGGGAGTTTTGGCGGAGGGCGGGTGGGAGAAGGAGACTCTGTGGCTTTGCAGTACGTTCAGGCAGGTGACTGAATCCTTTGATGTTAAAACTCAGGCTCTGAGGAGTCTCTATTCCTGTATCAGGTCCCTAAGGGAGGCACGGACGTGGTTCTGTCTGCACAGTAAGTGGTGTGTAGACAGTACAGTTTGCAGTGTCCTGGGATCCTCCTCCTTCTCCCTTTCTCCAGCTGGTTATCTGAGCTGCAGCTCAGGCCTTTAGAGGGCAGCAGAAACTAGAGATGGGCCCGAGCCGAAGAGAGGATTGTGAACATCCTAAAGATGAAGGGGTTTCTGCTCTGGGGGGTTGGTTCAGGTCCTCTGGAGCAGAAGCCAAAGTGTTCTCAGTGACGGATTATCTTCTCCACTGAGTAGCTGAGAAACAGTCATGTTTAGGATGAGCCATTAACAGAGGAGAGAAAAGCACGGGCAGAGCAGAGAGGAGAAACCCTGCAGGTCTATCCTCCCACTCTTCCTCTTCCCAATTCTGCCTGTTTGCCAGGCAGCACCAGCTCTAATGACAAGGACAGTGGCCTATCAGAAAGGAGAAACCTAGCGGATAAGGTGGGGTTTCACAGAGGCTGCCATGTTAATTGTAGCCCAGCTCAGCTAGTGCCCAGGAATCCTCAACACAGCGTGAGAAGCAGAAAACAGTGGGGTGTGCTTGGGTGGCTCAGCAGGAAGTTGTACTTTAGGGACTGCTGCAACGGGGCCCGTTTCCTTTCTGCGCCCGGCCCAGCTGCATCTAGAACGCGGCGCAGAATCTTTCTGGGCAAAACCTACCCCCCATACAGAGCACCAGCAGGAGGCATAGGCACCATCTGGGCCCTCAAAATGAGCAGGACCAGGCGTCTTGTTAACTCTCTGCCCAGGGGTGAATTTAGCTCTGCCAGTGAAAAGCGAACAGGGCGAAACTCACCAGTGACTTAAGCAAATGCAACTTCACTTACTTCATTGGAATTCCACCCACTTAGGCCAGTGGGGAATTAACCCCAATGTCTCTTGCAACACCTGTATCCTCTTTAAGCAGCCCCTGCTGCAAGGAACATGTTTATAGCTGAAGCATTCGTAGCTGATATGTGCTGGAGGAATCAAAGAAGCCAGGTGTCCCGGATCCACCGAATCAGTGCTACGCCCCCAGCTCTGGAACAGGCTCTGGGAGGAACCCCTTTGATGTGCTAGGCCCTCAAGGGATCTCACTCTTCCTTAGGGTAGGCCAGGCAGCCTCCCCACCCTCTGAAACCGAACCTCTGGGGCTTCAGCACTGCTGCTTCGCACCCTGAGCTGTGCTTAGCGAGTCCAGCTGAGACAGACTCCGGGTAGAGACTTGTCTGGACCAATGCACCTCCCTAGTATTTGGAGTGACACGCAAGCAGCCTTTTCAAAACAGCGTAGGATTTGAGAGTCACCTGGACCATAGCAATGGAAGCCCTTAGGTTAGCACAGAGAAATAAAGGCCCATTCTGGTCAACCCAGAGCAATTCCCCTTTCCATGTGTGTGCGTCTCTGGTTAGACATGAAGCCAAAAATAAATCCCCAACCCACCTTGAAAAAGCAGTTCTCTCCCCCCGCCAAGCATGGCATTTTCCCATGCAAAAATAACAGAGCACAGACTCTGCTGTTTTGTTTCTTTACGGTAAAATCTTGCTAATTAGCCCTGATGACAGGGGGACTCGTTCCAAAGTGACTGAAATTTGACAACTAGCAAATCAACAAAAACGTACTTAAAATAATCATCCTCAAGACTGCAGCGGTGTGAAATGTCTTTTGTTCATTCATGCTAACCCGTGCAGTTCACTTTAATACTAATCCGGCTTCATTCTGCACCAGTAGATAAATCAGCTGTGAACATTTTGCAGCTCAGGCACAAATGATCGGATGCCATTCCTGCTGAGGAACTGATCTCGTGCCCAAATCAGTGGAGATATTCCCATTGATTTCCCTGGGCACTGGATCACGCAGTATTCCAAGGCGGAAGTCTCTGGGCAAAGGGAGGTGGATTTACTAGTGCAAATTGGGAGTTTTTCTTTGGCAGTCAGTTGACTTACCCATGTGTAAAATGGGCATGAGAGAGGAGAAACAGACACAGATCTACCCTTTATCTGGATGATAAGAGCACCATCAGAGAAAGATGGAGTAGGATTTTGCAAAGCCTGACTGTTGTGTATTTTGTAAATTAGGTCTGATCAACAGTTAACTCTGTGCTGAAAGTGGGGAGAGGTTGCCAGCAGTTTGTATTTTGGGGGAGGTGGCCGTAGTTATCTCCGCCGATCAGCACAGTGAGATTCGACTGTGTTCGTTTTTATTTTCCAGCCCCACATCCCCATATTCAGAAATGCATCAGATACAGACCAGAGCATGGACAGGGAGTAATCTTACTAGCTGCTTTCTTTAGCTTTTCCTAGCTACTCTCTTCTCTGCCTTTTCACCTGCATAATTACTGCTCTTACAGATGTTTCTGTTAAGTATCCTCCTGGATTCCGCAGCCCTCCTTGGTGACGTCAGTTGTCATGGCACAAGAAAGGAGGCGGCTGGGGAAACGGAGCAGGATGGCTTGAAACAAACGCACGCACACGGATCTGACTCCTTATTGTCCACTCTCTACCCATGTAGTTCTCGGTGTCATTTTTAGAGCGATGTGATTACATTTGATTTCCGTCTCTCCTTTATTTTACGAGGGGGGGACCCAATTGCCTCTCTAACTGCGTTAACTCCGTTACAGGCCAGAGGACAGGTGCTTTCCTAGGTATGGAGTGTGACAATAACAATGACATTGACATCGCGAGCGTGAAAGCGCTGGACAATAAGCTGTGCTCTGAGGCCTGCTTCCCTGGTGAGTGGCAGTTTGCTGAACATGAACTTTGGTTGGGGGGAGGAGGGGACAGCATTTCCACTCTCCCTATCTCTCACTCCCCACTCCTGTCCCGCTGCAACAGGCGTGTGTGTGTGTAGCTAGGCAGCCGGGAGCAGTAGATCATCTGGAAACAGGCTGAAGATGTTCCATTGTAGTGCCCACCTTCTTATGAGCATAGTCCTGGATCAGGGCCGCTGGGGCAGGGAAGGACTGCAGGTCTCCTGCTCCCGCTCGAGTCGTCACGGAAGGCTGTGAAATGAATCCTTTGCCTCTATTGACCAGAGTGTCCAGTAGGTCTCGGCCGTCAGTTGCTTACTGGGTGAGCCCTGAAGCCAAACCAGCCCCGCCTCCTTTTCAAACCATGCAGCCCTCAGGTGAGAGGGTGGGATAGGGAGCTGGGGCCTGTAGCCCAATACCGTATTTTGTAGCCAGACAGGGCTGGGCCATGGGAGAAGATCAGTGATCTCCCCTTTCCTGACTGCTCCCAAACCTGCTGTTCTGGGCCTCTAAGGAAAAGGGTCCAAAAGGGAACCTAGAAATACACCGTAGGACAGACCTCTTAGGAGGCCGAGTGGCGGGAGGTCCTGTGAGAAGCTTTGCTCTTCTCCCGGTTTTGTCAGCGCTCGCTGAGCATGAGTGAGGAATGATGCTGGCTTGGTGGGGGTTTCTACCTGCCTAGGCAACTTTGCTAGTTTATGGAGGAGGGTTGTTGGATGATCATCGTTTGTTTATTTACCGACCAGTGTCTGCCTTTGGGTCCCACCCTCCCAGTGAAGAGCCCCCATGTTGCAACATGCAGTTATGCACCTTAGCCTGCAGTGCAGTGAAAACCGGCTTTGGTCTGGTCATGCAGACAGGAGCCAGGCTTTATCCACGGTCCTGAATCATGCTGAAGTCCCGCAAGGTGGGAACGTGGTTCATGCCTGCGTACGCTGCCTGGCCAGACTGGGTCTCAACTGGGACGGGGGCTACTGTGTTGTTACTGGTTCTTCTTCCAACACAGTGGCTTTTCGTAGCGTAGGCCGCATCTTAGTCACAGCAGCGGCGAGTCTGCTGGTTAGATGTCGGAACGTGTGCTGCTTGTAAGCAGAAAATAGATTGTTTTAGTAACACAGGCCTTGATTGGCTGCTGGGGTAAATTGGAGTTGTTCTGTCAGCTTCAGTGGAGCCGCACTGATTTGTACCAGCAGCTGATCTGGCTCATAGTCTGTGACATCCAGTAGCCTTCAGACTTGGCAAAAGAACAGCACAAAATTCCATCAGGCCCTCTTCCTCCTTCCAAATAAAGAACCAGCCGTGGCCACTGGTCAGTTGCTTCCAGGCATCCTGTAGACCTGTTCTGATCTAAACACCAGTGCTTCAGAGAGTGCCATCCACAAAGCGGGTGAATAGAGGGGTAGCCAATGAATGGGTGTAAACAGTCTAGTTATTGCTGGTTTTACTGTTCCTCCAGTGGGGCTCCCAAAAGACCCATCTCTCCTCCCCACTTCTTAACTCTTTCTCCATTTCTTCCTGCCACATTTTTTTACTAACTACGGGTCCGTCTCTCCTGTATTTGTCTCTTGAGTTTGTTTTCACTGGACTCCATCTGTGTGAAAGTTCATGTTCACTCTGTCCCAACAGTTTTCTCAATCCATGCTTCTGTCCTTCCCACGCCCAGGGTTGCTCAACGGTCACAAATTTATTGAGAGTCCCTGAACGGGTCTGGATGGGAGTAGGCGTGGGGATAAAGAATCACAATTCAGAGCTGCTGTGGGATCTTTCCTATGTATCAGCGTTGCTTTCTTAAGTGTCATGGGGGCAAGATGGTGTTGTCAGTTCAGTGTCAGGGAAAGGGAAAAGAGTAAGAGTGTTGGATCCCAGCGCTGGTTCAAATTCACCCCTTGACAGCACTAGACTGATTTTTGGCCCCATATCAGTAAATTTGTGGACAAGCTGAATGCAACCCTGCCTATTCCTCCCATACACCCCTTCCCCAGATCTGTAAATCAGGTTGCTCCCTGATGGCTGTAGACCTGACAGATTTGGAGAAACCTCCAGACGATCTAGTTTTATTAGCAGTTGTGGGTGGGGGAATCCTTCACCCCACCCAAAAAACGCTGGTGCCTCCTCCTCTGCCGCCTCCTCTCCCGTTGCAGCCGTCCTATTTCTGTTACAATTTATTCCACTTGGGTAAATGCAGCCAAGAGGTCGAGACAATATAGGGTCCTGTCATAGAACAGAGCCTGCAGTAAAGGCAGCAAATTGTGCATTCAAATGCCTTTCTCCTGGGCTGGCAGCTGGTTTAAAGCTTCCACATGCAGGGGTGGTGGGAATGATTGGGCCAAATCAGACACTCGGCTCCTTCCCTGTATGCTCCGGATCTGGTAAGAAGTGACTCCACATAGTAGCCCAGAGCCAGGAGCATCCTACCTGAATGTCTTGGTAAGGTGGTGTGGTTGTTACCTTTTCTAATCCGGGGTTTTGCTAATGAAGCAGCCATGTTGTGGCAGATAAGGAAGGCTGAATAAATACTCAGGGCCAAATTCTGCCGTATTCCACTGCTGTGAATCCAGAGCAACCGCATTGGGTTCAGTAGTGTTACTGCCATGGTTGGCATCCATGGAACCGAGAGCAGAATCTGGCTCTACAGAGCAGAGCTCCTGCTGGGTTTCATGGTACATGGAGAAGGCCAAATCTAAGGAGCCCTTGTGGAATAAATTGGGCACTGAGTACGCGGCCGCGAGACGTGGTGTCCATCCTCCAGCCTGCATGGCTGTCTGGCGGCTTTGCTGCTTGTGAGTCCCGTTGCAGAGCTCTCTCCTGCCTCGAGCGTGGGGTGTGGCACGGGTCTCCTAGCCCTGCTCGGGGCGTTCTGCATCTCTGCTTGAATCCATCTCCTGCTTCAAAGCAGACAGCACTACTCACCTGGGGGAGACGGGGAATGCATACGTGAACCGCAACGGAGCACAACACCTTAAGGTTGCCTGTCCACAGATACGCACGGTCCCAGCCTCCTCACACGGACCTGCCCAGTGTTTGTGGATCAGCTAGGGGCAGAGGCTCTGTGCATGTTCTGAGCCTGAGTTTCCTCTTCTCAACTTGTTCTCCAGTCTCTGACGAACATCCCTCCTTTTCCCCTTCCCCAGAGTGACTCCTAACCTACTCTGTAGAGCTCTTCATGAAAGTTAGCTGGCTTAATAGGGGCTGGGTTTTCATTTTACTCCAGGATCCAGTCCTTTATTCTCCCCCTACCTCCTTAGTTCTGAGTTTATTCTATGGGTTTCCTTCCTACAGTGTTTCTTTGGTGAAAAGTTGACTCCGATAATAGATGCTGAGCGTAGGTAGCGTGGATAGAAACACAAATCTCTAGAGATAGATAGAGGAGGTGCAGATGGAAGGGAAGTTAGTCCAGAGAGAATTGGGCTTATTTAGTCTGCAGAAAAGAAGAGTGAGGGGGGATTTGATAGCAGCCTTCGACTACCTGAAGGGGGGTTCCAAAGAGGATGAAGCGCGGCTGTTCTCAGTGGTGGCAGATGACAGAACAAGGAGCAATGGTCTCAAGTTGCAGTGGGGGAGGTCTAGGTTGAATATTAGGAAAAACTATTTCACTAGGAGGGTGGTGAAGCACTGGAATGGGTTCGCTAGGGAGGTGGTGGAATCTCCATCCTTAGAGGTTTTTAAGGCCCAGCTTGACAAAGCCCTGGATGGGATGATCTAGGTGGGGTTGGTCCTGCTTTGAGCAGCGGGTTGGACTAGATGACCTCCTGAGGTCTCTTCCAACCCTAATCTTCTATGAGAGGAAGTTATGTGATGAATCATGAGGTGAGCGATTCCTGATGGAACACATGATTCATAGTAGAGCTAAGGCCTGATCCAATGACTCCCATTGATTTCAGTGGATATCAGCTCTGGCCTTTATTGAATAGGTTATTGAATCATCAGAGAAAAAGAGCAACTCTTTGCAGTACAGTACAGGCATGCATAGGCCAGAGCCTCAGCTGGTGTACAAGCTCCACTGAAGTCAGTTTCCCACCAGCTGAGGATCTGCCCCACATATATTCACGTGTCGATCTTGATGCACAAAAAGAGGTGGAGACAATGAGAAAAATGTCCTGTTTCTTTGTCAGTTTCAGTATCTATTTTATAATACCCCTTCTGCTGTGGGGTTCGCTCTGCCGCACCCATCCCAACCCTGGACTGTCTTCCCTCTGCCTTATCCACCAGCAGCAGCAAGAGCCTGGTGTGCATTTAATCTCAATGAATTACTTATTCCAATTTACTTTGCATTGAAACAAAACTGACCTTGAAGACAGCTACATTTTTTGGCAAGAGAGGTGTTTTCCGAGGTTTGCATTCCACACATCCACCTAAAAATTGAGATAATGGATGCAGAAAGCAGCACGCACAGCAAGAAGCAGCCAGCTATTCAGAACAGGGAAAACTTGAGCTTCTTTTTCTGCAGATTCAACGCACCCAGCCGCTGCCATAATGTGCACGTCCATGCAACAATTTCAGGAAAATTGCGTGGGCAGCTCTGATTGCATCCAGGTTACTGGAGGCGATTGAAAGCCGTGACCACGCTACTGTTGAACTGTGTAAGGCTTTGTCACATTCATGGGGTTTGTGACAAAAACCTTGCCCCTTGTGGTGTTTTCACAAGGCATTGTGGTCTTTCCACCTCCAGGCAGCGCATGGCTGAGCAACATTCGGTCAGTTCTCATCAGTGTGAATCTGTAAACGTCCAGTGTTGTGCAGCATCCAAGAATGACCTGGATTTTTAAATGGTGGAATTTATTTTTTTATTGAAAGATAAAGAATTTTGCCCAAAACGGTGTTGATCCAGGGCTCCCCTCCCTGTGTTTTCTGTAATTTGGGGTGTGGGGGTTGGAGGGAGGCTGCCATGTTAAACCAATGACTTTTTTCAATGATAAATGGCCAGCCTTGGAAATGATACATGAAAGCAGAGACACTTGATCACTCCTTTCACTGCTGTGGAT